GTGTGTGTATGTGTGTGTGTGTATGTTTGTGTGTGTATGTGTGTGTGTGTGTGTTTGAGGGAGCGTTACCATGATGATTATCATATCATATTCCATATCAGACGAGGATTAAGTATGAGAACATGAACAAGTAAAAATCATAATATTTCAACACCAAGAACACACAGACAGATGATTTAATATGACTACTGATTTATCATTATTACTCATTATTTGTATCATTTTATTCTTCTTCTTACTTTTGTCTTTTATTCCAGATAAAAGTGTGCTTTGTGTATGACGTCACAGCGACTCAAATTTAGCCCCACAGAGACAGCACACCAGAGACACTAAAATATATTTTAGTGTCTCTGAGCACACCCCGGGAGGTGCGTACTAAGTCGAGTAAGTTCCAAATGGAGGGTTAAACTTTACTTTTACCAACCTTCTTAACTGCTGGGATGTCCCACATAAACACTTCTCCCCAGCAGATTGTTGCAACATATTTGTTTCTTTCAAATTTCTCAAAACTCAAGTCAAAGAGCTCTGGCCGTTTTCAAAATGACATAATTTTAACAACAGGTTTTAGTTTAAATAAGAGCTCTACGGCACGTGCAACATACATAGGTCGCATGAGTGCCAGAGATTAGAGGTCATGTTAGAGAGTAACATGTACATACAAAGAAACGAAAGAGGATAGAGAAGGATGACAGATGCTTGACAGGAAAGACAGGAAAGAAGGAGCAATAACATTCAGTAATTCGTTAGTGTAATACAAAGAGGCTCTATTTTTGTCCCTCTCAAATGTCGTCCATCAGTTGGAAATAATGTGATGAATTATACTTGCTGACCAAACGTTATTGAGTCAAATAATCAAGTATTGTCAAATATAAACTCAATGTATGCAATTACATTACCAATAAATGAGAAAATGGGTTGACGCAGAATAGTAAGAATAAAGGAGACGCTTTAGTCAGACAAAGAGACGTAAGTTCACTGGATGAAATCTTCCTAGTGTGATCTGACGTAGGAGCAGCCGAACGCTTTGATCTTAACTTAGTGTACCCCTTCGTAACGCTCGGGGCAAGCCAGTGCTATCCTTCAAGGAAAAGCACAAAGAGGGAGACCAAGAGGCTGCCAGAAGAAATGATGGGAAAACAGCATCATATAGTGCAACGGCCATGACTGAAACATAACACGGAGAGCTGAGCTCCACAAAGAGTGGAAGAATCTGGTTGTAAACTGTACAGTGAGCTGTACAGTGAGCTGTACAGTGAGCTGTACAGTGAGCTGCGCCCCCAGCGGTCAGCCAGACTACCGTAAGTGAAAGGGGAAGGTGGACGCTTGATATACTGCAAATCAAAAAGTGGTCTTGAGACGTTACGAGTGTCCAGATTTTAACACGTTTCAATCAGAAAAAGAGACTTGTTCCTCCCAATGGTAAGAAATACTAAGGGATAGGTGAAAGAGAACGCTGAGGAAAACGATATATTATATCTCTAATTTAAAAAGTTGTCTTGCTAAGATTCAAGTGTCTAGACTTAGATCTAGATCAGATTTGTTATCATCGGTGTCGAAGTGAGCATCCAGGGTGGAATCTGTGTCGTTTTCTCCTTTAGTTATAGTTTTAGTATAAGAGCTTTACGACACTCGTAACGCAATAAGGTCATATAAGTGCCGAAGGATAGAGGTGTTACGAACGAGTAACAAACATAAAAAGAAGGAGGAGAGAACAGGATGGTGAGTTTTTGATAGGAAAGAAGGAGAAAACCACACCAGAGCACTCACCAACCAAGCACGCGGTCTTCTTTATTTGTCACGGTCTTGGGGTCGTCATTACTACCTGGAGGACCTCCGGTCAACTATTTCTAGATGTCATACGATTATGATAATATTTGGTGTTTCGACAGGTTTACTTGTAATTCTCTCTCCCTCCCCCCTCCCACCCTCTCTCTCTCTCTCCCTCTCTTTTCTTCTTCTTCTTCTTCTTCTTCTTCTTCTTCTTCCTCTTCCTCTTCCTCTTCTTCTTCTTTTTCTCCTTCTTCATTTTCTCCTT